ATTAAATACATAGTATAGGAAAATTAAATAAATAAGTACAAAGTAAATAAAAAAAGAGGTTAGTAGATAATTAGAGTTAATAAAATATTTATTTAATTGTGGTTAAAATTAAATAATAAATAAATATTTATTTACTTTTGGTTAAAAATAAATAATAAAATATGTGGATATTATTAATTGTAGATTCAATAAATTGTACACTTAAGATGTATAGTAGATAATTTTGTAATTAGGTATTTAAATAATATAAAACTGTATTAAAGTAATTAACCTAAATTATTAATTCTTTTGGGACGCATTCAGGATTAATTAAAGTTACGTGTAAAATTTAAAACTTTTGTAGGATGGGATATCGCCTTTTGAGGGATCTGAACATCGGCATGCAGTTACGCGCAATCTGTATGCAGAACATCGTATGGAAAAAAAACCTAAAGAAAGTGAAAAATGTACATCCTACGTTTGGCCCACTTGGTGAGTCAGCCGACGTAGATGATGATGATGATTTTGAGGGAGAGGAAGAAGCAGAGGATAGTTTTGAGAGTGGAGGGGACGATGTGGATGAGGAGGATGAGGCAGCCGAGTATTCCTCGCCTGAGAGGAGGGAGATACATTTTGGAGGTAACTCAGTACTGAACCCTATTGGTCGTACTGATGATCAGACTCTCACCCTACCCGGGAGGGGGAGGGAAGACCCTTGTTGGATTATCGGCCCTGAATTCAGCTTACACTCCTGGTGGTTCCAGTGTTCGTGTCGGCCCACAGAGTACTCTTTTTAAAGGTCCCAGTACTACTCTTCATCATACCGGCCCGCAGAGTACTCTTTTTAGAGGTCTCCCTCTGACTATTCAACCTCGTTCCCGTTTTGGTGTCGCATCCATTGGTGCCTCTAGCCGTCCTGAGGCAGCTGCAACGTCATCAGGTACGTATTTGTAAATATTTCAGCATTCATTACTGCTTGGTCAATTTCTTAATTGCACTCCGTTAAGTATTTATCGACTATTCTTTATTCGGATTTCAGGTACTAGCAGACGGTCTAAGGTTTCTAACGAAGAAATTGATGATTGCATTCTCAATACACATCATCTCCGAGTTGATGTGCCCTTTCCAACTCATTATTCAATAGATTCAAGCAGTAGTGTGAAACGTTGCATCTTAATTGGTAGAAAGGGTACTTGTTGTGTTGCCTCCCTATTTTCTGTCTTGATTCTTGCAATTTTCCCCTGTGGAGGAATTAAAACAAATTAATTAAACAAACTAAACACACAATATACACTACAACCATATTTTAGAATGTAAAGTCGAAATCCAGTACCTTATTTGTGTAAGCTGTGTCTCGAGTAACATGTGAACCCTGTGCCAGACCGTTTCAAAAGAAGTATTTGCAGTGCCGAGCCATTCCTTTAACAACTTGTCTGCACTCTCCACTCTACAAGTAGTGGTGTTGCCAAGATGAAAATAAGTGTTGGTCCATGCATGCACAAACTTGTCCGCCACCAACCATGTCTTCCTGACATACTCTAGAATGGGTTGAAAGTGGGACCAATTATGCTCCAAAAACTTCACTTTTTCTACGCAATCTTCCCGATGTGCAGCTTCGATCACTGTTTTAAAGGCCTTGTATGCGAAACTTTTTGCTATGTTCGCATTTCCATTCAAAATTCTTTTCACATTTTTTTCAACATCCCTATAAACGTGCCACGTACACAACAAGTGATGTGATGATGGAAATACATCATCAAGAGGCCTCATCAGTCCAGGCTCCCGATCAGTCACGATGACACTCGGATGCAGATCATCGCCATACAAGTTACGGAGCTGCCATAGCGCCCAATGGTAGTTGTCCCCCGTCTCATCACTCAGAAGAGCATATGCTATAAGGAAGGTCTATTTGCAAGGGGTCATTCCAACAAACTCCACAAGAGGCATTTTATATTTGTTTGTGTTGTATGTGGAATCTACAAAAACACTCCAAGGATACATCCGCAACAGCAATAAAGAATCCGGGTGTGCGAAAAACACGTGGGATAACCTCTGTCTCTTCATCGCACTCCGTGAAGATGATGTATTTGTATTGTTCTGCGACCTTTAACACCTTTCGCACGACGTCCATAGAAGCCATGTCATCTAGAATTGGAAACCCCTCCTTATGCAATTGATTTCTGTAGTTGTAGACTTGTTTGGAGGTAACCTTTTCATCAGGAAATTGTGTCCATATCGCCTGTAAAATGTGGACTTTCTTAGTCCCAGCTTTAGAGTACTCCTGAATAAGCTCTTTCACTTCTGCACTCAATGGCCTCTTGATTCGAGGTGGATCTTTCAATGAATGGTTGTGCATTCCTCACGGACCTGGATATACACGAATCGCCCACCTATCATATATCTTGTAAATAGTAACGCGAAACAGGCATCCGATCATCTGTGTCTTTGTATTGAGTCGGGCGCGCACGTTTTCATCCACCTGTTGACCTTGGTACCGCTCTCCTTTATGAAAAAGGAGTATAGTACTATTATCCTTGTGCAAGGATACTCTTAACTCCATGTTGTAGATATTCGTAATACCCTTCGCATATGCAACAGATTCCTTATTCATGGCAAAAGTCTTGTCTGTAGCAAAAGCCGTACTATAGTCGACTACATCCCCCTGATCAAACCTATCCAGCACACATTAAAAATGAATTTATATCATAACTTAAATTAACTCTAATAATATTAAACCACAAATAATTTGCTATGAGCAAAAAACAAAATATATAATCCGATATAAATCTTATACTTTAAAGATAATTAATATATACTAATAAAAAATTAAATACATTATTAACAAAAACTCATTATTTTAACGAAAACCCTAAACCCTAACACCTAAACCCTATACCCATTAACATATTACCTAAACACCCATTTAACAAGAAATAAACTATTTCATACGAGCATACTACGTAATTAACATAATTAAAATATATAACAATCTAAATACATTATTAATAAAAAATTAACTCATTTAATATAACAACTACAACCGATGAATAAAATACGTAATTAAAAAATATTCTCTAAATATTTAAGTTTAATATTTTTTATAAACCAATATCATAAACCCTAATTTTTTAAACAAATATTAAACTACCAAACAAATATTCAAATAAAATAAATACATGAATTAAATAAATTTATTAAACTAATAAATATTAAATATATTAAAAAATTATTTTAAAAATTGATTAAATTAAAAAAAAATGGGTGGTCGGGTGGTTGGCGAGCATTCCGGACAAAGGTGGCGCCAAATCTGGCGCCACCACCTTCACCTAAGGCGAAGGCCGTCTCGCCTCCCTGTAAATTAAGGGAGGCGAGTTTATTGGCATGTTTCTCCTGTCGGCCCCCCTCCCCTTTTCGAAAAAAAACTTACCTCCATTTGCAAGCGCGTGTCCGTCTTTCGGAGGCGCTCAAATGAAACAATAAGGGCGCTCAACAGTTCAACCCTTATTTTTCACACAATTTAAGTAGAATTCACTGTGTTTGAATTTTAAAAAAAAAATCAAAAGATTTATTTCAGTGGATGAAAAACCATCAAATATGTATAAATGTAGTATTTTTCATGGAAATCTAAGAAAAAAAAATTACACTAAAGGGATATTGTATAAAACACTATATATCATTAAATTTCCTTTTTTCCTTTTGAGTTGGCTAAAACTTTCATTTCAGTTTACTAAATTTATTTTTAAAAATTTATGAAATAACACTACCAAATTATCATCAATTTTATCGATTATTACTTCTAAAGTTTTACTACAAATGAGTCATACTCATACCAATATTTTACCTCTCAAAAGATACACTATCTTGAATATGAAATATAGAAAACAATTAATGTAATCTACATAACAAAATACATAGAAGAATTATTATATAAAAAACCCCGACACAAACTTTATCATATGACAACGATAAAGCTCGGTTTACATGTAATCATAATTTTATAATTTTGCGGAATCCATATATTGCAATCCGTGCGGCGCACGGGATAATTCTAGTTAAAATTAGTAAGCAAAACTTCATTTTGGTATAATATGATAAATGGATTTCATGAATTCAATGTAAATTGTCCCATATCAATTGATAAAAGAAACACTAAAGAAAACACAACATGGAAGCAATACTGAAAGCAATGTCATAAAATCATTAGTAAAAAGGATCAAATCAAACGTTTCATTTTATTTCTTCTTAAAGCCTACTTGAAAAGAAAAATTATAGAACCGTGAAATGAGGACAATAACAGCTTCCACTGAATGTTGTTGCTATATATAGTCATCTTTTTGTGATGATTGATTTTGAGTCATAAAGTGAAGGAAATTATTTCCAAACCCAGAGAAAGTTCAAGATCGGGAATACTAGTACTACATGATGATGATGATGATGATGATGATGATGATTATCAATCAACTACCAAAAAGTTTACTGCCCCCTTTTATTTTAATGGAAAGTTCTGAAAAACCTTTACTCATCATATAATCACTTTACTTCTGCTTATAATAATTAAGAAGTGATAATGGATATATACTCTCGTAATGAATTTTACAATAGTATGGGTGTAAATTTAGTGGAACCTATGTGCACAAAGACACAATTTATTCAACAGAAAAAACGATAAAAATAGTAATTTTATAATCCTGAAATTAATCTAGCAACGCATGAAAGTTTTTAGAAGGAAATAGCTTGTCGAATTTCATCATCAGTATGTATCCTTTCATGTATGTTACGTAAATAATCCAAATAGTTTTAATTTACATTTTTATTCCTTACTTGTCAATAAACTTATTATGAAAATGATGGATCACATAAAAATAGAAAATATTAAGAATTCGATTTAGCGGATTCAGTATTCAATAGTCATTGTCACACTTTTTATTGTATATTTTGTAGTATTTGTTATATTTTTACTAAAATTCTCTTCCTATCATTTCATAAAAATCATCAATGGTTGTTTTTTTTTTCACATGACAGTTTCATTACAAAATGAAATCATGTAGGGATAATTTTTTTGCTGGTCACTAGAAAGATTCTGCCAACAAAATTAGCCGAAAATTAAGGACTAAAAATTTGGGAGGAAGTTTTTTGATGCGTTTGCTTAGGTCAATGTCACGTTTGGTTGACTTAAAACGACAAAGAAAAAATTTGCCGGCCGTACTACTTTTTTTTTGTTTTTTTTTCCCCCACTCCCCCACAACTCTCTCTGCTTAGTGCTTACTACTCTACTGCTACCCAAAAAAGAAGGAAAGTTTCCGTTTTCTTCTCCTCAATTCTTTATAATCACCGCTTCAATGGCCCTTTGATCCACAATGCTGTGAACCCGAATCTAGAAGATGGGTTTTGTTAAAAATCAGTTTTTGGCATCTGGGTTTGTTTCACCACAACCATCTACTGTTTTTTTCGCAAATCAGAAACAAAAATCATGCAACAAGAATGCTTTGTTTAATTTTTGTTTAAGCCCTGATTCTGAGAAAATTTCGGGAGTTTCTTTATTTATGTTGTTGTTTCTTTTGTGATGTGATGTTTATTTGGTTGTTGGGTTCTTTTCAGATGTGAATGCTAGTGGTGGCGGTGGGAGAAACTGAGGAGGGATTTTAGTAATGGCTAGGCGTCATGGGTGGCAGCTTCCTGCTCATACGTTTCAGGTGGGTTTTGCATGATTCCTTTTGTAATTTAGTGGCTTCAAATTGAAGGTGGAACTAATGGTGGGCATGGAAAAAGATGCAGTCTTTGTCCGAGGGAAAAAGATGGGAGGTTTAATTTTGACTGTTTTGACTTTATAGATTGAAAAAGGTCTTTGACTGATTAAGATCACGGTTCGTTTTGTTCTTTCTAGGTCTTTTCTGGATTTTGATGCTCCAGAAATTCGGACATTATTAGGAATTTAGCCTTTTAGATGTTAGAATTTAGTGGGAGACGTGGGTTAGATTTGGCTTATGAGTGCAATTCGTCTTTTATGTCGTTGTCCTTTGGTTAGATGAATTCTTAGGTACACTCTTGTCCACTTTTTTTCTTCTTTTATTCAAAAAATATCTGATGTATTCAATTTTATTTTACTGTTTCATGGAATTTTGGGTGATAACTTTTTGTATCGTAATGAAACGTATTTTCCTCTAAAGTGTCATCAGTCTGTTCTGTATGGTCTGAAGACTTTGACTAGCTTCCTTTTCTAAACGGTAAACCTTGAAATGGATAAATTTGGATGACAAGTTTAGAACTTAAAATCCCATTTATAGATCATGCGCAACATCAATTACAATGGTGTCTTTATTGAATCATCATGATAACATGCCATCAATGGTCGTGTTGTGTGATCTTTTGAGCAGTGAAATATATTTCAAACTTTTCATATTGGTCATCTGGTGCTAATTGTTCTGCATACACAAAGGTCATTTTAGTGTCCCGTATTTAACCCTAAAGAGTTGAATAAGATCACACATCATTATTATTGTCGAACGTTGTAGCTCTTTAGATTCCTTTTTTTTTTTAATTTTAAATTGTAAGGAGAGTATTTACTAGTAGTTGTGCCGTCCGTTCTTTTCTCGTGAGCTCCTTAATCCTACTGTACTAATTTTCCGTTCTTTCTTAGTACTGCTAATTTGAGTCACTTTCGTGCATAGTCTTCCTTTAACCCCCTCTTTTTTTGACGGGTGCTATTTTTGTTGCATGTGTAAAAATTGGCTCAATTTGCCTTCTCCAGGCTTCTAGTATTGTTTGAATTCCTTCTTTGGCCCTTTTATTTTCTTATTTTCTGAAATTGTTACTTTAGTCTATCAGATTTTTCATTACATTGTTTCAAAATTTTCTATTTTGTATCCTTATCAATGTTTCTGTTTCATAGGTTGTGGCGATAACTGTGTTTTTCCTCCTTTCGGTTGCTTTTTACGCCTTCTTTGCTCCTTTTCTTGGGAAGGACATCTATGAGTACATAGCCATCGGTATTTATTCATTTCTGGTAAGTGCAAAAGTGTCTTTTTCTAGCTGTCCCTTTGAGTAAGTACGATTCACCTCTGCTACAATTTGCTGTTCCTTCCTTATTATCCTTGCTTCTGATTTCAGGCGCTCTGTGTATTTATACTTTACGTTAGATGCACAGCTATTGATCCTGCTGATCCAGGAATTCTTATTGAAGCTGACAAGACAGTGACTAACAAATCGCAGAACAATTCTGAGTATCTTGGTTAGTTCTTTAACATTCATTTTTTCAGCATAAATCACACGACAAACATTCTATTTGGTTTCTTCCCATTTAAATTGCTGGTCATTTGTTATTTTGCTTGATGCTATTATTGTGACCACGCATTGGTAAATTAAATTACAAGAAAGTTTATGTTCATATGCGCTTTTTCAGTGACCCTTTAATGTCATGTAAAGTATACAAGGAATTATTAGCGTTTTTGAGACCCACACTTTTGTTGCCCCTTTTAAATTATCTGCATCTGATCAGATTCTTTTTTTATCATCTACAGAAGAACCAAGCAAAGTAGTATTTAAAAATGGAGAAAAATCTGATCGATACAACTCAGGTTCTTGTTCTATATTTGGAGGGGTCTTCTGTTGTATTTTTGTCAAGGAAGATTGTAGAAAAGATGACAACGTGCATGAGCCTAATGGTGAGGAAGAAGCTTTATTTTGCACTCTGTGTAATGCTGAGGTACAGTATTTACTTTTTAAGAGTTATTGTAGGGTGGTCATCAATTTCATGCGTGCTATTCTTTTAATAGCATTTTCTCTGGCGTCCGGTTATCCAAGTTCTGGTACATTCAGAGACTGGATTATTCACTATTTTTTTCCATTGAATTTTGAAGGTCCGCAAATTCAGTAAGCACTGCAGGAGCTGTGACAAATGTGTTGATGGATTTGATCATCATTGCCGGGTTTGTTTGTAGTTTATTATTACATTTTATATTGAGTGGGTTAATCTTTAACACCAATATTGAATATCATGATCCTTACCCATTACTTTTATATGGTTGTCAATCCTTATACTATGGATTTAATTCTGTTTCTCATACATCTGCCCTGTGAATATTTTCTACAGAACATTTTAAAGCTTGACTTTTCTCATTTTGTATGATGGATATTTGACATTTGTATTTCATGCAGTGGTTAAACAATTGTGTGGGCAGAAAAAATTATATTACCTTCGTGTGCCTAATGGCATCAAGCCTTGTTTGGGTAAGCTATATCTGGGATCGTATATTTTCAACTTAACTGATTCTTCTTTCTTTTGAGCTTTTATAAGACTTTCCTTTAAATTCCCATTCTGATGCAGTATTTTATTTTATTCTTCTTTTTTCCCCTTCATCAGCTTATTTTTGAGTGTGTCATGGGCATTTTGGTCCTTGTTCGATGCTTTGCTGATAGAAAGGCTACTGAGAACCAAATAACTGAACGGCTTGGGGATGGATTCTCTCGACCCCCATTTGCCACTGTAGTGGTACGTTACTTTGTTTCAGATATGTGTTTAGTTTTTTTTACATGGTCTTTTCGAGTTTTTCCCCCATCTCACTTTTTGATGCATTGATTATGTTATGTCTTCATAGATAGGTTCCTTCTAGCGCTGATTGGGAATCATGCCTGTTGTTGCTGTTCTATCTATGCAGCTTGTACTGATTTCAAGATATTATTAGTGTTTAAACTTTCAGTTGGCATTGTGTTCCAACCTGCTTTTGTCAGTAGTTCACTGTTAATCCCTACCGTATTAATACATTGGAATTTTGTTAAAGCTCTCGTTTTTGTAACTGGTATCCTTTTCTTCAGGCAATCTGCACATTCGTATCTTTTCTCGCCACATTGCCTTTGGGTGAACTGTTCTTTTTCCACATTATATTGATTCGAAAGGGCATCACAACTTATGAATACGTAGTTGCAATGAGGACCCAGAGTGAACCTCCTGGACCCTCAGTTGATGGAGATGAGCAGCAGAGCTTGCCATCATCGCCAACGAGTTCGGCTGTAACTGCAATTAGTGGTAGAAGTTCTGTTGGAATGGGGCTGCCATATAAAGGTGCTTGGTGCACCCCTCCTAGAGTATTTATGGATCATCAGGTGCGGTGTTGATGTTTATTCTTTCAAAAGTTGTGTTTCTTGGAATCATGTCAACACTATTTTGACTTCTGATTTATATGTTTTGTAATCTCATATACACAGGATGAAATTATCCCTCATCTTGAGCCAGGAAGATTACCATCTACTGTTGATCCTGATGCACTACAAGCAGAGAAGGGAAAGAGGGTTGCACCGCAGCGTCCAGTGAGAATTAGTGCATGGAAACTCGCAAAATTAGATTCTCACGAGGCAATTAAAGCTGGTGCCAAGGCAAGAGCATCATCATCTGTTCTTCGTCCAATAAATTCTAGACACCATCCATATGATGCTGATCATCTATCCAGCAATATGAGTGGTAAAAGCAGTCCAACAAGCACGAACCAAGGATTCTACGGAAGGAATGGTAAATCGAGGTTGTCTTCTGCCAAGAGCTCTTACCCACCTAGTCGGGCTAGCAGGGAAGAAGATATCGAGACCTGCAGTCATAATAGCTTGATGAGTAACATGAGCAGTCCTCTTGCGGCGAATCTCACTCCTTCCCCCTTAGGGCTGCAAGAATCTTCTAGTAGAGGCCACTTTAATCCAATGTATCTATCCTCAGCCGAGCAATCCCCATGGTCAGCGAAAGGCGATGGTGGTGCTAATGAAGCTAATATTCGAGAAAATGTTAACCAAATGGCAGCCGCAGCCCGAAAATCCACTCCTGGTGTTGGCACAGGAACCCCTACTTCATCTGTGTTTTGGGATCAGGAAGCTGGTCGGTTTGTTTCTGCTGCCGGCAGAAACACCAGTTCTTCCTCCCAGTTGCCTGGAACCGAGCTTACATTTACCGGGCAATCAATATTCTTTGGTGGTCCTCTCGTGAACGAACAATCAGCCCGAGGGACGAGAAGTGGTATCGCTGGCAATAGCAATGTTCCGGGAAGCGGAACACAACGAAGCTCCTCAACAAGTTATTATCAGCAAGGGAGGTCTCAGAGAGGAGGTCAGCTTCCTGTATTTGTTCCAAGCGATTCCCAGCAGCAAAACCAGTTTTCTTCGTCTTCCCGATATCAACAACATTGAGTGATTATATTTGGTAGTAAAGAAACAAGAAAATTGTAGGGAGGGATAGATGTCAAGTTTAGCTCTTTGGATTCAACCATGTAATTTTCTTTCTTTGGAGTTTGTTTTTAGGCTTCAATGATCTAACATAGCCATCAGTTGACCTATAAGTAATCTGATCTGACATACATAGATTAATCTGAAATTTGCTTCATTTTACACCTGATAGTAGTCTCATTAATCCTCATTTCTTCATGGTTTTCCTACATTTGGATTGGAGTTAATATTATCAGGATACTTTTTGTCATTTGACACGTAAAAGTTATTTCACTAGATAGGGTCGGTTATATTGTCAATTTCACTAGAGTTATTTGAGGTGAAAGTTATTAAAATCCACAATGAATTGTTCTAGAAATATCTCATTGTGGATTTTAATAAATATCTAATGAAAAAGTGAGATAATTCTTGAACCCAAATTTTATTACAGTTTCATGCAAATTAACGTACGACATCATGGCATTTCTTTTTTTTTTTCTTTTTTTTTTTTGTTGTGGTTATTAAGGGGAAATAAATTAATTTCTGTTCCTGACATATAGGTTCAGTGTTGGTTCTATTACACGTTACAATATTTTCATCAAAAAAGCCATACCTGATCGGCTTCTTCCCTCCCTTTCCTTCCCTCCTTTCATCTTTGATGTTCTTCCCAACTCTTTTTTTTTTTCCAATCCATATCCAACGATCTAGCTAATCATTTGATTTTCTGGTTTTGTTCTGGTTTGCATGATTTTGCATGCATTTGTTAGGGGGGGTTACAGGTATATATATAGGTTAGAAGAATAACTCATCAGCAACAAATGAGCTTTGTTGTTGTTGTTTACTTCTCAGTGGCTGGAAAGATCATCATTCAAGGAGGAGGCTGAGGAGGAGGAGGAGGAGGAGGAAGAGGAGGAGGTTTCTTTTTAAAAAGGATGGCCGGAGGGCGTTCGGGCAGGGATCTGAATGCCACACCAACATGGGCTGTTGCATTAGTCTCTGCTGTTATCATTCTCATCTCTATTATTCTTGAGAAAGTTCTTCATGGTATTGGCCAGGTAAGAAATAAATCCCGTCTTTTCTTTTCTTTCTCTCTTAATTTGGTCTAATTATTAAGATCATGATGACTCACAAAGAAACTATGCGTTGTCATCTTTGAGTAAATATTGAGGATGTGGGATTCTGTTATTATGGTGTGCATTTTGGAGAAATTAGTCCCATATGATTGCCTCATTCCTTTATAATATTACCTTTGATTAGTTGCAAATGAAATGGGAATTTGTAGAGTTGAATGTTTCTGATATGGAGGTTGGATGATGGATGACTTCTGATTTTGTCTAGAAGTATCTTTTAAATAAGCAATGTTAGTTTTGGAAGTACTTTGAGTTTTGTGGCAAATAAGAAATAGAGCCAAACGGCTCTCTGTTGGCGCATGTTTGATAAATTTTAATGAACTCATACCAACTCTTCACTCTAATAGAGTACTTACTTCTTATTTTCCTCCATGATATTATTGATTTGTCTTTGAGACGTTTGAGCAACTCTTCACTTTCATAGGGTACTTATTTTTTAATTTCCTCCATGATATTATTGATTTGTCTTTCAGACGTTTGAGCGAAAACGGAAAAAAGCTTTGGTTGATGCTCTGGAGAAGATTAAAGGAGGTATGAACTTCAAGTAGTAGAGGTAGTTTTCTCAGGGGTATTATTCAATAGTTAATTTCTTAGCATCTTTCATAGATCATTCCCTTTTTCTCATTTTCTTCTTGCAGAGCTTATGGTTCTGGGATTTATTTCCCTGCTTTTGACATTTGGCCAGAACTACATTGCCCAGATTTGCATACCAGATCATGTCGCAAACACTATGTTACCCTGTCCTTTACCCCCGGCTTTAAGGCATGGGAATAATGCACCTCCTATGGTTGAGGGTGAGCATCCTCCTGCAGTTGAAGGCAAGGGTCCTCCCGAGGTTGAGGGGGAACATTCGCCCACTGGTAAAGGTGAGGCTCCTCCCGCCACTCCTAAGGTTGAGGGAGGTGACCACCCGCCTGGCAATCCTTCAAAGATTGAGGGGGAACCTCCTCCAGGTGTTGCCGCTGAACCACACAGAAGGCTCCTATATTATGAGCATCGGTTTTTAGCAGCGGATGCAAAAGCAAAATCGTGCCAAAAGGTGTGACATTTCATTTTTCATCTCTCCACTTAAAGTATTTAATAGGGAGGGGCATGCACCTGAGGTTTATTGTTTTTCTTATAATAACAATGAGCATCTTCATGAAATGACAGGGGCATGTACCAGTGATATCTATCAATGGGTTGCATCAGCTGCACATCTTTATATTTTTCTTGGCAGTGCTTCACGTTGTTTTCGGTGCCATTACAATGAATCTCGGTAGATTAAAGGTAGGATTATTGAACATGGTTGGGTAAAAGACTTTGGAAAAAGGTCACACTTGCTTGCATATTCACAACACCCTTTTTGGTTGGAATGACCTATTTGGCTACGTTTATCATTTTGGTTCTCTCATTGGGTCTATGCTGAAGTTGGTTATTTATATGCTTTTATTTGAAGATTCGCGGATGGAAAGAGTGGGAGCATGCCGCAGCTCAGGATGATGATTTATCCAATGGTACTAACAAATGGTTATTTACAAAAAGCCATGACTAATTTTGTGTATTATATAGCATTTTGCAATGACTTGTGATAGAGTCAGAACTTGAAGGATGAAAATGATGACAAAGTTCATCAGGCATGGAGATTAAGATACTTTCTTCTTAATTTTGCAGATCCGACGAGATTTAGGCTTACTCACGAAACATCTTTCGTCAGAGGCAACACCAGTTTCTTGGCCAAAACACCCATCATGTTCTACCCAGTAAGAATAATCTTTGGCCTTAAAATTTTGGTTCATTTAATTATGTCCAATTCCAAGTGAACTACCTGTTGATTATCCAAGGAGAAACTGTTTGATTAATATTATATTTACAATCATTTCTTGGCCTTTTGGAGTCAGTTAATTTTAAATCCTTGCATCTAATGATTGAACTGCTTTGTGCCAGAGTAGTTAAAGAGTTCTCTATCTGATTGCAAACTCAACGGCATCAATGCCTTTTAGATCAATATCAGCATTTAGCTCAAATATAACATAACTTAGCATTTCCTTATCTTTGTGTTTAGGTCTATACAGCTTTAGGTTCAATTCAACTACTTAGTAAATAAGTAGCTTGAGTTACCATCTTTTAGAACATTTATTGCCAAATGCTACCATTACTAAAGTGTAGTCGATACAAATCAGTTACTGGAAATTTACCTTTGCTTGATGTTTTATATGCTCAAAACTTTCAGATTTGCTTTTACCGGCAATTTTTCAGATCAGTTCGCAAAGCTGACTACTTGACCATGCGCCATGGATTCATCTCCGTAAGTTTTTCAAAGATTCCAAGTACTGCATCCCATACAGTAAAGTTCTGCCTTGATTTTTGTTTTTGTGGTTTTGTTTAGTTTTTTTCCCTTCAATTCCTTCAGGTTCATCTGGCTCCAGGAAGCAAATTTGACTTCCAAAAATACATCAAGAGGTCATTGGAAGATGACTTTAAGGTGGTTGTCGGAATCAGGTATTTCTGCTTATCTGTAGCTAAGATTGTTTTAGGAAGCAAACTATTCGTCCCATCTGATGCTTTCTCTTTTGGTGCAAAATTGCAGTCCACCATTATGGGCATCTGCAGTGATCTTTCTACTTCTTAATGTACATGGTAAGTTTAGCATTCCTAAAAACATTTCTTCGAATTCAATGAAATGTTTGGAGTAATAATCAAATTAACATACACTGAGGTGAATTTCTTTGTCTTCTAGGATGGCAGATCATGTTATGGCTATCTTTGCTGCCTCTGGTGGTAAGAACATTTTATTTTCTCTTCTTTTTTGTATTTTTTTGGATGAACCCAAATCCTTTGGTTCACCCTAAAAAGTAAAAACTATCAGCTAACAGCTTGACTGGTCAAAGACCATCTTAGCAGTTGGTACGAAGCTACAGGCAATTATTACGCAGATGGCTGTGGAAATCACAGAAAGACATGCTGTAGTTCAGGGGATACCTCTGGTTCAAGTCTCAGATAGACATTTTTGGTTTGGAAAGCCGGATTTTATCCTGCATCTCCTGCATCTGACTCTCTTCCAGGTAATTGACACTACATCATGTGTCGCTTCAAGTATTCCTTTAATGCAGACACTGATTAAATAAGTTGATTTCCAATTCCGCCATCTTCATATGCAGAATGCCTTTGAGATCACGTACTTTGTTTGGATTACGGTAATTATTTTACTTTGCTACATATATCTCCCTCAATGATAATTGTCCATGTCCAGAATCCTTCATCTCAGTAAAGGTTTTGATATTGTTTCCCTATTGCAGTATGAGTATGGATTGCATTCTTGCTTTCACGAGGATCTCACAGTTTCCGTTTTGCGATTTGTTATCGGGTAAGCAATCAGAAATGCCTTAGAAAAAAGCAGTAAGGGAAAATAAAATACAAAATGTTAGTGCACTATTACTCTACATGCAATGGCTTTTATGATACTCTTCACAAAGATGACTTTTACAATACCACTCAACACTTAAAAAGTAGTCTATTATCTTCAAAATTAAAAAAAAAAAGAAAAGAAAAGAAAAAACAACAACAGTTACAGTAGTTTGAACTAGAAATTACAAATTAGTTATCATAGACAGAAAAAGAGCCGTATCAGCAAGTGATGTGGGAAAAACATCGTAGATGGATTAATGGATGCTGAGGGTAACTGATACCTCTGAGTTGACTGCAAATATTTCATAACGTGCTGAGTATATCATTCTTCATTTCTGCTACTCGTTATCCTCTCATGATCAGGAGTGATTGTAGAGATATATCGCAAAAGAGAACTAGAAGAGTGATTGATATGGTAAAGGTAGAAAGCCAATCACCGGTACTGTTTGTAAATTTCAACATGATGAGAGTATAATCATGACTTTTAATCGGCCATACATGATCTAGTCTCTCATTTTCTCACCCTACAAGCTAACTCTCTGTCACATTATTCAGTCAGTCACACAGATTTTCCTCTATAAATATTGCGGGGTCATTTTTATGTTCAACTGCATGATGACTACTTGTGTTCGAGTGCAGGTTAGTCGCCCAAGTAGTATGCAGTTACATCACCCTTCCCCTTTATGCTCTAGTTACGCAGGTCAGTTATCCATCTTTTCTTAATTGGAATTTGAGTGAATCGTTTCTCTTTTTCATTTGTCGAAACAATTAACCACAAATCTGTTTCTGCTTGTCCGTAATGAACCTCAGATGGGATCAAACATTAAGAAATCTGTGTTTGATGACCAAACCAACAAGGCATTGTCGAAATGGACAATGACAGCAAAAAAGAAACGACCTATGAAGATAAGTGCGCCTAAAGTTCGGAAGATGGGAGATGGAGGGGGCAGCCCTGGCGGATCAGGAGGTAGTTCTCCTAGGCAATCTGTAGAAGCACGGGTGGAAATGACCGGTATCAGTTCAGGAAATGCAGCAGCCAACATCACTGCCAGCATCGACATTCCTGATGAAACTCATCCTCATCACAATCCTGCTGCCGCTCCCAATAATAATCCTTCCTCAAACTCTAGAAATGTTCAGTTCCCTGACTTGCTGACAGGCCCATGATTTGAGTTGCTTCAACCATAAGAAATCGTTGACATAGTGAGTGAAAGAATTTAATGGGGGCATGTTTTATCTCTTAGACCCCACATGAGAAATAGTAGAAACATAGACCCTCATTCTTTCATTGTTAAGGGGTTGCTTAGCTGTTTTGTAATGTATAGATTTGAATGACCAAATGTACTCTTACTCAACCCCATTCATCTTCTCATCAGATGTTGCCGAATTATCTAGGGAAAAGTTGTTCATTAGGAGCATGAATCATCAAGGACTGCATTTTATGCAATGAAGAAAATTATTTGCTTTTTTTTTTACCCACCCCGCATCCTCTATTCTTCAAGAATGAATGATTTTTGTTTCATTTTTTTTTCCCCTCTAACACGTTTAAAAACCTCCAAGGTAGTGACATTTTGATGAGATGCTATCGATCTACACATATGTGGCAAAGATCTTGCTTTGGAAAAGCATGATGGAATTAAGTTGTACTGTGAGGTTGCACCAAAATGAAAAAGTAAGAATCTTGTGAATGTGGATGGCTAAAGATGCTAAAAAAAAGTACACTTGTATCACAAGAAAATAATAATTTTTTCTTGAACTAAAACACTAGAACAAGCAGGAATATGATTTTTTTGTGACTAAAAGCGTAACATGATTTAAGACATCACAAGATATTGCAGCCATTAAATTGAAATTTACTCCTTTTGTTCCCAAAAAAAAAAAAAAATCTACATTAATGAGTAATGTATTCATGTTAATAAAATGGAGCATTAATGATGAACCAAGAAATAACTATTGGCTTGAGTAGAATAATAAAAAAAATCTACATTGAGAAGACTATAATTCTTCTCTCCGGAAACGAATTAAATGCTTCTACGAAGACATTAATTCTATTAGCTGCAAGGAAGGCTAGCTCTACGCTTCGTTCCTTGCAGTCACTACTCTTGAGCTTCGCTCTCGAACCCGGAGGAAGTTTGGAAATGACATCCAGCCCTCGCGCGCATCGACCTTATTCTCTCTCTCTCTCTCCCGCCCTACCTTTTTGGTAGTCCGGGCGGGAGAGAGTGGTTACCTCGTTCGGGCTACCTGTCCGTAGGCAGCCCTCTCTCCAATCCGTTACTTAGAGGCTTGGGCCACCAATGCAGAGGTGGACAAACTCCTCAAGGCTGACACCGTTAAGGGGGTGCTCTATCCAACTTGGCCACTGAAAAGGGCGAAGGCTGGGCCAACTTACTGCTTACTGCCATGCCATGGTTGAAGCTTTAGGCTCCATAGGCGGAACCTTTTTTTAGGTATTAGAAAGGGGAGGAGAGAAAGAAGGCATACATGGAGATTCTGTCTGTTGGAGGTTCGATAATCTATAAAAGGACATCTAAGGCTAAGATTACGAAGTAAAGGGTCGGGAAGTGGCCTAGAACAGAGGGAATAATCCACTGTAGGTCTATAGGACGATGAGGCCCTAGTCCTCCATGGGCTGGGGGAAAGAAGAGCCTAGATAAATTTCACGATAACTGAAGAGGGAATGCGGCTTTACTAGTTTTTGAGACTATAAGTTGATTCGGCCTCGGAAACGCTCAGGTGTTATCAGCTTTTCGTAGGGATATTGAATAGTTATAGGTAAACGCTTCGTATGAGATAAGGATTTGGCAGCTCAATCCGAATGGAATGCCAATTCTGCCTAAAAATCTCTTCAGGTGATCAAGAGGGCTCCCTTATTCAGTATATGAGATTAGGATGAAAGGTCTTATCTAAACGCTTTTTTACTCTGGCTTGCTCTTTCAAATCCAATTTTAGCGGGCGATCTCAGGTAGGATTGGAACCTACACTATGACCGCTCACTTACATAAAGTGCACAGCCGATCGCTCTACCACTGAGCTATCCCGACCAGTCCCAATGTAGCATCCTCATTTTTTGAAAAAATGGGGTCTATGTCAATTAAAAGAAGGAAAGGGGATCAGAAACATAGGCGAACGAACGAACGAAGCTATTAGATAGTATAGGTCGGATGTTTTCGTGAGCAGTAAGCAGCAGATCTTCCCTTATTTTGGGAAAGCTGGTGGCCGCGCGTGAATTCTTTCAAGGCAACGGGAGGCCTGAGAGTGGAGTAGTAGAAAGGAGTGGAAGGTCTGAAGTTCGATCCAGCAGTGGTTGGAACAGCTCGCAAAATCCAACCACTTCACCTACTTCATTGCCCCCAACCCTTTCTCGTACTTCTATTGAAACAGAATGGTTTCATGTTCTTTTATCGATTGGTTATTCCTCTCCATTCGTATCTCTTTTTCCAATTTTGGTGATGAGTAATGTATTCATGTTTTTGCCTCAATTTACTCAGGGGATGCAGGTACGAGGGGACAATACCCGGTTCGAGGAAGGTTTCTAAGACTGAGTGAGAATCACAAGCTAGTGCTCGAAGCAAATATTCTTAATGAAGAAGTTATTGCAGCATTGTTTGACATAGATCCCTTCAAAGCACCTGGGATGGATGGGTTTAATGCCCGCTTCTATCAACATAATTGGGCTACTGTTGGGGAGTCTGTGTGCAAGATGGTCAAGAAGGTTTTTGAATGTGGACAGGTGGATCAACAAATTAACAAAGCTCTGGTGGTACTAATCCCTAAAACTAGTAGACCGGAGAGGTTTTAACACCTAAGACCAATCAGTTTGATTAATGTCTCAATCAAGATTGTGTCCAAAGTAATTGCGAATAGGCTGAAGAAGGTTATGCCGCATCTTACACAGCCAACACAATCAAGTTTCGTACCTGGGAGGAACATAGTTGATAACATAATAATTGCTCAAGAGACAATTCACACGATGAGGAACACCAAAGGGAAGAGAGGGTGGATGGCAGTGAAAATTGACCTAGCTAAAGCTTACGACAGAATAAGTTGGGCTTTTATTAAGGATACCTTGGAGGACGTCCAGATTCCACCATTTTTGAGCAAGGTGATCCTTCATATGCTCGAGACTGGCTCTACACAAATATTATGGGATGGAACCATAGGGGAGTCGTTTACGCCAAGCAGGAGAGTTAGACAAGGGGATCCAGTTTCTCCTTATATTTTTGTTTTGTGTATGGAACATGCGCTTAATAGTCAGGTGGAGAATGGAAGGTGGAAACCATTGGTTTTTGGCACGGGAAACAACAAAGAGACCCTGTCACATTTAATTTTCGCCGATGATTTAATTCTTTTTGCTGAAGCATCACTGCAGCAGGCCACAATCATTCAAGAAATTTTGCAATGTTTCTGTAATTTCTCGGGGCAAACAATAAGCACGGATAAAACAGTCCTCTACTGCTCACCAAATGTCAAAGAGGAATTGGCTACAACCATCAGTCACAATATTGGAGTACATTTGGTTAAAGATTTAGGTAAATATCTTGGAGCACCAATTATACATGGTCGCATTACTAAAGATACATATAAAGATGTAGTAGCCAAAGTTCGAGACAGAGCATCTAAGTGGAATCCACGGAGAATATCACTTGCGGGAAGACCCACGCTATGTCAATCAATTCTAACTGCAATGCCCGTTTATCTCATGCAATCATCGGTCCTCCCTAAAGCAACGAGTGATGAGATCGACAAGATTAGGAGAGGTTTTTTGTGGGGCTCAAATACAGAGAGCAAAAGGTTGAGTCTTGTTGCTTGGGATTCGGTTTGTCAACCTAAAAAGAGAGGCGGCCTTGGTCTTCGTAAGCTAAGGGATGTTAACATGTGTCTTATGCTGAAAATAGCATGGGGTATTATTGGCGGAGGGCAAAGCTTGTGGCGTAAAATTTTGTTGGCTAAGTATGGTATCCCCAGAGAGCACACCCCAACCGTCATAAGGAAAAAAAATTCTTCCCATCTATGGAAGCAAATCTCAAGCATTTGGAAAGAGGTTGTGGGGGTAATTAAATGGCGCATTGGAAACGGTGAAAATTTTTTGTTTTGGAGGGACGTTTGGGCAGACGCAAAGAAACCTCTCTATCAGCTGGCGCATCGTACAGTCCTTGAAAGTGAGATGAATCGCAAGTTTGCTGAATTTGTCAACAACCAAGGTCAATAGAGATGGGAGCTATTCACCCCCTACTTGCCGGATGGAGTTTGGCAGTACATTGGCAATATTCCTCCACCTCAAAGTTTAACTGACCAAGACATACCATTATGGAGAGCTTCTGCTTCAGGCAAATTTTCAACGAAATCCGCTTATAATCATCTTTATTCAAACAAATGGGATCAAGATGATAGGAAATGGCAGCTACTTTAGAAATGGCAGGGCCCAGAAAGGATTAAACTGTTTATGTGGCTTCTTATGAGGAAGGCTCTTCTTTGTAAAGCCGAGAGGCTGCGGAGGCATATGACTGACAACGGAAATTGCCACTTGTGTGGCGAGCTGGAAACGGAATTCCATATCTTTAGAGACTGTTTCAGGTCAAAAAGATTATGGAAAAGCATCAACACTGGGCTAGCGGCTGAGTTTTGGACTGAATCATGTTTAAATAAGTGGATTTCTAATAACTTGTCCTCTGTCTTTGTCCATGACAATTTTCCATGGCCAACATGGTTTGCTACAACATGTTGGAAGTTGTGGCGAGTAAGGAATGAAGAAGTACTCGCTGATGCAAACACACAAGGATGCAATCTCAAACCCAGAGTGCAGGCGGCACTCAAGAAGATCGGATGGAGCAACGAGGGGTTTATGACAAGAAAGGGTACCTTACCACGCAATATGGTTCTGGTTTCATGGATACCACCTCAAAATGGTTGGACTAGGCTTAATACTGATGGTGCGGTTGATCAAGCTCAACACCGGGCAACAACAGGAGGTGCTTTGCGAGACCATCATGGTAACTGGCTCGCTGGCTTTGCTGCTAATATAGCGTACTGCACACCTGTCGAAGCTGAACTTCAGAGTGCTTATCATGGGTTACTCCTAGCGCGAAAATATGGCATCACTCAAGTCCAATTTGAGATGGATAATTTTGAGGCTTTCAAATTAATCAAGGATCTAACTGATGATTCGGTTGATGATAGTCTTTTGACAGATATACTCAGACGGATTAGAAGATTTCTCAGACTTAGTTGGAACATTGAATATAGATATATATTTAGAGAAGGGAACAATGTGGCTGATTGTTTAGCAAAATCAGGTTTTAGTAAACCAGTTGGATTACATATTTTGGCAACTCCCGCTAGTGATATAGCGGCTAAAATAGCCTTAGATATGCTTGGTATTCCTCAACTGAGGAGCTGTATAGTGTAATTAGTTTTATTATCTCAACCTATATAAAAAAAGAATAATAAATCATCTTAAAAAGATGGAATATTGTTCTTTTCCTTTTTTTTTCAAAAAAAAAAAAAGAAGCCAGCAAGCAGAAGAACCTTTTAATAGTATGACGTGGGAGTGCTCCAAACTAGATAAATATTTGGATTGGATACAGGCAGGCTGGCAGTTTTCAATTCTATTTCTTGGCCATGGCTTTGGCTTCTTCAATGCACAGCTTACAGAGATGTTGTAGCAGCAGTACTGGAAGCCAAATCCATTCTGCTTTGGAACCCAACACAAGATTCAACAATGCAAAGCAGCCAGTTGTTTTGGAATTGGTGAAAAAATTGCCTATTTCCAGAAGGTCTGCCATTTTGATCTCTCTGCTGCCTCCTCTAATCCTTATTTATCCAAACCAGCAGCCATTGCTGGCTAGAGAGAGACGCAACCGAAAGAATATCCCTTTGGAAGATTACCAAACCAGCGGTCTGTTCCTGCTTTCCCTTTAACTAGTTTCTGCAATTTTCCATTTCCTTCTGCGAGTTCATCTTCTTTCAGTATTTGGGTTTTTATCATCTGGGATTATTTTAGTGTTGAAGATTATTCGGTTTGTGTTAATATAGAAATGCAAAATTTGAAAAAAAACAAAATAAATTCATTCTATTCCCTTTCTAATTTTTCCCCCATTGGATAGATTTGTGTTAGTTTCAGTTCATCGATGATGCAATTCTAACCGGGTCAGAAGGATTCTTCAATTTCTGCAATGTACTTGCTATAAGGCCTTTCTAAGAATGATGTTGTAACATTTGCAGTATTTGAGTTTGTTTAATCGGATTACTTTTAACTGTACCATTGGACATTGGTGATGCCTGTAACTGCTTTTTGAAGTTTATTGAACTTTTCAGTTTTGTGTTAATCTTCACAATTTGGAAAGCACTTCTGGTGGCATCATGATAGTAAAGCGCCAGACTTTTTGAAATGTTAAGGTTGGCAATTTCATACTTCTGCCACCAACTGTTTCCCTCCTGTTGGAGAGGAAATCGTAGTTTTAGTTGACAAGTATGGAACTTTATTAGGAGAAGAAGGGTGCAAGAAAATAATTTAGCCATATGCTTCAAACAAGCTTGCCCGAATATTTCAAGAGTTCCATATGGTTGAAAAAAGCTTAAATGATTCTTTTCTTTTTTCTGCCCGGGGGAGAGAGAAGGATTGGTGTAAGAGCATAGGTAATTGAATGGATGTTTCTTGTTTAAAGAGGCATGTATCTGTGTAAATACTTTCACAATGTTCTTGCCTCTGGAAGCATGTCCTTTGTACTTTGAAATAGGATCCAACTCAAAATCAATTGCTAGCTTCCTTTTGTGATGCATCATGACATCCATCAAAATGCAACCTTTTTAATTTTAAGGGAACTCACAACAATTCCATGGAGACATCAAATTTTTCTATCGTCCTGTGAAACAGTTTCTTTTGGCAACAGATAACGGACTTAAATACTATGATTTGGTTGAGGGGAAGGGTCCTGTTGCTGAAAAAGGATCTATAGTGCAGGTTGCTACTACAACAGCTAAGCTTTTATACGAATACGACTAAGTGAGTTCGGCTATATGGAAATCACTTGACCATTCTCTCAATTGCATCTTTATAGGTTCATTTTGATTGCGTTTTTCGTGGCATTACTGCAGTGTCAAGTCGAGAATCTAAGCTTTTAGCTGGAAATCGCATAATTGCTCAGGTATATCCTGTCTGCATTTCTTGTTATTTCAGATTTAATGAACCATGAGGCTGTTAATATTGCTCCTTGTAGACAGCAATATCAAAACTACTGATCTTCTGCTGCCACAACTTTGTGTTGTGGTTGTTGTTTTAGCCTTATGAGTTCCAGGTTGGGGCACCACCTGGTAAAGAAAGAAAGCGCGAGTTTGTGGACAACCCGAATGGTTTATTTTCGGCACAGGCTGCTCCGAAACCTCCAAATGCCATGTACACTATCACAGAAGGAATGAAAGTTGGAGGAAAGGTGAGCCAACATCCTACCAACATCCTTAATTTCTTAGAGTCGCCGAAGCCTTGTTCTTTTGCTATTTACACAGGATCATTGGTCCAACTTCTGAACAATCTCATTTCCTTTTTGTTGGTGGCGTGAAGAGGACTGTAATTGTTCCTCCAGAATCTGGATATGGCTCAAAGGGAATGAATGAGATTCCGGTGAGTATTATAATCATTCCCCTGGTTGTTTACAGGAAAGATGATGCAACCGTGCTTCTTTTAAATCCCCCTGAAATTCCAACGCCACTGAAAGTCAGCTGTTAAAACGGTAGATGTCTGATTCTGTTATATGTTCTTTTGTACTGGTTCTGATCATACTGTTCATATGTGCAGCCTGGAGCAACATTTGATCTGAATATTGAGCTCTTAGAAGTAAAATCACCAGAAGGAAAAAAATAGGTACTCAACTTTAAAGGCTGCACAGGACCAGTTCATCATCTTAGAAATCGAGTGTAATCAACTTCGAGATAATAAAACATTTACTGCTCCATAGCTCAGAATTAAGAGCAAGAAAATAACTAAAGACACCGAGGCATTACCGCACTGGAGATCAAGATTTTGTCCTCACTAATTTCTTGTTTTCTAGTGCGACAATTCCCCCTTTCTAGAGCACTTATGTATTGCGGTTCCATTTTTTTGTTTCAATTATTTTTATCATCTGTAAATCTGTCACACTTTTTTCCCCCTCAGTTTCCATTCTTATTAGATAGATGGATTTAAAAAAAAAAAATTAAAAATATCTGTCTAATATGGATGCGTTCACTGTGCGAACGGTGTAATGAGTTAATACTAGACACATACATGGTCTTTATACTACTCTTTTTCATAACGAGTTTCAATTAAAATGAATGAGTTTTGAGATCTTTTATGTTTCAAATGATTGGATTTGAAAGTAGTTTTGGAGAAATGAAAAAAAAAATACAATAAACAAAGTGAAAAAGAACAAGAATAAAAATAAAAGAGTAATGATATTTATTTCACCTAATTCATTTCACTATTCCATCTCACCTTACATGACATCTATTGATTAGACAATTTATTTCTTACTTTGCATCTAAATAAATTAATTCAAATATTATTATTTAATATTAGTCTTAGTGATAATATTTGGTATCATTATTATATACGTATTTCTTATTAATGCATCATGGTTACATTCTACTCGCTCATGAGGCGGTGGAGTACACTCGAAAGAAGAAAAAAAAGAAGGAAAGGAGCGGTTGTTTTCAAAATTGACATGAGTAAGGTATATGGTCAAATATCATGGCCTTTTCTGCTCCAAGTAATGGAGAAGATGGATTTCCCAGTAAGTTTTGTAACTCTTGTAATGAAGTGTGTGGCTACAACAAGTTTTGCTACTTATGTGAATGGTGAACCATCTATCTATTTTAATCCCATTCGAGGCCTCCGAAAAAGGGTGCCCTGTCTCTTCGTACCTATTCATTACTCCCTCCATTCCAAAATATATGTCGCTGGAGGAGTTTCACAAAGTTTAAGAAGACAATAAATATTTGGTCAAAATACTAAACTACCCTCATTTATTCTCAATACAATTCTATTCCCAATATCATTTAGTTCTAATACACTTCTATTTTAAATACAATTACAACTTCCAATGTAGGGGCAATGTTGGAAGAAGATGACAAAATATGCCTAGATATGCAAAAACGACATCTACTTTGAAAAAATTTAGTTTTCCTCCAACGACATATATTTTGGAATAGAGGGAATATATGTCAACAAGCCCTTTTCTTTGGCTTTATTGAATCTGGATCAACAGTCAGGAGGCTTCGGGTTAAAGTTGGCAACTACAGCTCCACGACTGTTGTATCACAAGTATGCGCATAATTGTCTAATTTTCACGGAGACTACAAAGAGGAATGGAAGGGCTCTCTATGATGTGCTGAATTGGTATACCGGCAGATCTGGACAAAAAGTAAATTTTAGAAAATCATCTATTATGGTGAGTCCAAACATGCCCAGAAAGTTTTAGGAATGGATGTCGTCATGGCTAGGGATTCCACTACAAGGTTGTCAAGATAAATATCTAGGCCTGTCATTAGATTTCATGAGGAAGAAGTCACTTGTTTTTGGAGATATTGTTCATAGAATGAAGAAAAAGTTGCAATCCTGGAAAAACAGAACCCTATCAATGACAGAAGAGTCACCCTGGCAAGACACTCCTTAGCAACCTTGTCGATTTATATGATGGGTGCTTTTAAACTCCCTAGGAAGATAACAAAACATATAGATAAGGTGGTTGCGAATTTTATTTGAAATGGCGACAAAGAGAGCCGAGAATTTCATTAGGAAATCATGGGATCATTTATGCAAATCAAAATTCCAAGGTGACTTAGGTTTTCGAACATTACAGGAGATGAATCAGACACTTTTAGCAAAGTTTGCATGAAGAATACTTGATTGTAAAGATTCGCTCTTTGTAAGGATTTTTCTAGCAAAATATGCTAAAGGCATAGATTTCATGGAATGCCGGATACCGAGGTCAGCATCTTGAGGATAGAAAAGTATCTTATGGGGTCGGGAGCTACTTAAGGTGGGGCTGAAATGGCAAGTTGGAAATGGAGAGAGTGTGAGAATTAAGGATGAGTGGATCCCAAATATAGAAAACCCCTTGCGTCAGGATCCTACTTTCCAACATCATCTCTTCACCTGGTGGGTTAAAGATCTTTGGGATCAACAGAGAAAGTGGCGTACGCCTCTGATAAATAGTGTTTTTCCGCCGGATGTGGCACTGAAGATTCTATCTATGTACACCCCCATAGACTTCTATTCTGCCGAGTGACCGAAGGGTTTGGTCGAAGACAGCAAGTGGTGTATACACGGTTGAAACTGGCTATTACGAAGCCAGAAACAGAGAGCATCAGTGATTTCATGGGAGAACGCAATTAAGGCAGAATGAACTCAGTACAACAGGATGGAAGAAATTTTGGTTGGTGCGTGTTTCAGCAAAGATCTAGTGACTACTTTAGAGGATATTGAATCATGATTTACCTTCTGCTACAGATTTGAATAGGAGAGGAGTAGCAACGTCAATGTAATGCATGAGGTGCAAGAAAGAGGTAGAAAACACACAACATATTTTCATGGATTGTGAACATTCACATAGAATATGGAGAAACTCTCATTTGGGGTTTGACTTTAATGCTGGCAGCATAATGTCGTTGGTAGCCTGGTTTGAGGAGTGGCTTACGTCGGCACCAGATATGGAGGTGATTCAACAGTCTTTTTTCTTGTTCTGGCAAATATGGTTAGTAAGAAATAAAGCAGTGTGGGAATTTCAAGTTCAAGAGCCAGGTTTGGTGCATCACTTGGCATTGACAGAATGACGTATTTATACAAGAGTTTTGCGAGCACCATGTGTCAGCATGCTACAACAGAAAAAACAGAAGAAAGAAAAGACAAGTTCTATGATACAAATAAGGGGTGATTTTTTTATCAGAACGGATGAGACTTTTCAAGAAAGTGGAAACAAAGGAGCTGGGACCTAGTAGATTATTACAAAGCAAGGGAGATATCAATGTCGGGTATGGATCCTTTTTTGCAGTGTCGGTGGATGAAGAAACGAGAGCTTGTTTGAGGGGCCTTCAAAGGGTAATATCACTGGGAATACGAGACTGTCAGTTACAAGCTAATAAACTATATACGGAGACATAAAACTTGTCCTAGACACCTATCATCTTTGTTTAATGATATTAGGATGTGTTTTTCTTTTTCTATTAGATGTGATGTTATTAAGGTAGATAGAGAAATTGTTGAGAGTGCACACAGGTTAACTAAGACTTGCCTGCAAACAAATTTATGTGATAGCTGATGTATCCTTTGGGACATTACCTTTTATAAATAAAATTGGAAGTAAAACAAAAAAAAAACATGCATCATGGTTGCTAAAACACGCTCCTTAGGGCGGTACAAGATATCAACAGAACTACATTGTTTGACCAATTGTTTGACTTTTGACCTCACTCTCCTCACTCTCTCGTGTATGTATGGAATTATAGAATCTGTAGATATACAGACAAGAAACAACTGCTTCCGCTTCGGCGACGGTCCTTTCTCATTTCCGTCACCAGATCGGTCATATACTCGCTGCTAAATCCGACTGCCATTCCGATTAAACATGGCGACGATTCGTTGCGATCTGCTACTGCTCTGGTTCATCAGCTGTTGCGTGATATCGGCGCCGATGGTATTCTCCGATCTAGTCATCTCTAAGGTTGATCGGCGGGTACGTTGGACCTTCCTTCTTCCTCCATTGCCTTTTGGTTCCGACTATAAAGATCACCGATATGATCGTAGTTGAGCTCGTTATAGGGTTTTGTTTTATTAATTCTAATTTCATCTAATTTGGTGATTACGGTTGCTGTGTTTTTCTTGGTTATTGATCGTAGTTGAGCTCGTTATACTGTTAATTAGTGTTTCTGAAATGAATATTTAGCGGTGAATCGCTCAATTTGAGGCTAAATTGTGTTGAGATTGTTCAGTTAAATGCTGCATTGGGTGAAAGCTGTAGACGAAATTTTGATGTTTTGAATGGTTTAAAGATGCTATACTCTGAGTTTGTAGATTGGCTTCACTGATTTTAAGTTAGGTTTCTGGTATTTGATCATAAAGGAGACTTCTTTCTTCTATATTGAAGTTTTGCTTTAGCTGTAGTTCTAGCAGAATTAATCACTCTTAACTTTCCCTCTTGTGCAGATTGATTTGACATCGCAGATTGTGCGCTCCTTTACAACCCTAAAGGTTGGCTTCTTTGTCATTTGTAAATTCAAAGTTTGCATAACATTTACTTAGTTCCTTCATCTTTGACCCTGTAAGGATTTCTCTCATTTGACGAACTTTCTGGGTTTGGAATTGTTTTGAGACAGGTGGAAAATGATGGGGCTAATAGTGTTTCTGAGATTTTGCTACCTTTACCGGATCACCAGGCGAAAAATTTGGCCTTTTTGATCGCGATTGTTACTGAAGAGAAAGGGAAATCAAAGTCATATTCTGATGTCCTTTCAGTTAAAGTTTCAAATCCGGATGGGATGCCCCCGTCGCTAACTTGGTATTCGGTGTCTCTACCAAAGGAATTGGGCAAAGGGGAGAGGTTGAGTTTGGAGATCAGGGCAGCCTTCACCCATGCCCTGCGACCGTTCCCTGAAAAAATCTCTCAAGCTGATGCCCAACTTGTTCTCTTCCAGGATAGTGCATATTATCTCTCCCCTTATGCTGTCAAGGGGCAGTCGCTTACTATCAAGCTACCCCAGCCAGTGCGAGTTGAATCATACACAAAACTTGAGAATACAAAGCTCACTGAATCAGAACTTAAATATGGTCCTTATGAGAATCTTCCAGCTTTCTCGTACAGACCTATTATGGCTCATTTCATGAGCAATGGACCTTTTGCCGTTGCTCAAGAGTTGGTGAGAGAGATAGAGGTATCACACTGGGGTAGTGTACAGATTACGGAGCATTACAACCTTATCCATGCTGGTGCTCAGAGCACCGGCGAGTTTTCCAGGTAATCTGATTGGCTTCTTCTCTGATACGGCGTTCAGTTTTTTGCATGCGCGTTCAAAGTCCTATTCTAGGTTGGCTCGTTATATTATCATATTTTTGGACATTGTAGGTTGGACTATCAAGCTCGGCCTCACTTAAGAGGTGCATCAGCGTTTAGGCATTGTATTGCCAGATTACCCCCTAGAGCTCACTCTGTTTACTACAGGGATGAGATTGGCAATATCTCGACATCGAGTTTATGGGGCGATGCAACAAAGGTTGTGATTTATTTTATGCTTCCGAGCATTTCTTCTTTGGGATGGATTAGCTGACTTCAAATATCTAACTCTTTTTTCTTTATTTATTTTTATTTTCATTTTTGTGCAGACAATCCTTGAAATCGAACCCAGATATCCAATGTTTGGTGGCTGGAGGACTGCTTTTACCATTGGTTATGGCTTGCCCCTGCATGATTTCTTGTTTCAGTCCCAGGGGAAGCGTTTTCTAAATATCTCTTTTGGATCACCAATCAATGACCTTGTCATTGAAAATCTCATTGTGAAGGTAATGCTGTCATAAAGCTTCTGTCTTGTGTGCTATATCTCCTCCTGCTCCTGTACTATGTTCTGGTCTAAGTTAAAGAATATACGCCAGACAAGTATAGCTGTTATACTGATCTAGTTAATGTTTCTGACTATTTTAAGAAACAAAGTAAAAAATCCAATTGGATTTATGCTATAATTCCTGCATAATTTATTTGTTTACTTTCTTTTTGATTGTGGACTTATTCACATTTTCGCAACTTTTATGATCTGCACTAAGGCATGCAGCATTTTCCATCTGTATTTTAGGTTGTTTTGCCGGAGGGATCTAAAGACATTTCCGTATCCACCCCATTTCCTGTCAAAGAATCACAAGAGGTATAGTTGAACTTCTGTTATGCGGCAGAACATTCATTGCTTCATTGAATCTTAGCATTGATGCTTCCCACTGCTGATTGTTTTCTCACTTTCTTCGCACAGGTAAAATTTTCCCACTTAGATTTGGTGGGTAGACCTGTGGTTGTGCTGGAGAAGCCAAATGTTGTCCCGGAGCACAACCAGTATTTTCAGGTAAAAACATTCTCATTCTCATAAATTGACTTTCTTCAAGTCAAACCTTAAAGCTGAAGGAGGAAAATGATATTGTAGAAACTAAAAAAGAACTTGGGGGGAAGTAGGAACTGTCTGATATTGTACATTTCTGTGAGAGTTTGACTTGAAGTTAGTCTAATGGGGCAGGGTCCATAATACCATTGAAGCCGATTAGCTTGACCAACCGAAAAAAATACCTTGATGTTTGTTTAATGGCATAAAGAAGATGACGCAAGTTATAATTTATAACTCGCTCCTCTTAGCGGGATAAGATTGAGGTTTTGTAATTGTTGTAGTTTTATAGAACAGGGATTCTGAAAGATGAAATGAGATATTGTCTGAACAATACTCTGTGTATTTGGTATTATTTGCACTCACTTTTGAACTTTCTCTATTTTCCAGGTCTATTACAGATTCGGCAATTTGTCATTGTTCCGGGAGCCACTGATGTTAATCTCTGGGTTTTTCTTCTTTTTCGTTGCCTGTATCATCTACATGCGTTCTGACTTGACGATTTCAAAATCCTCCCCTTCTTATCTGGCAAAATTGCAATGGGATGAGGTATATTGATTTTGATGCCTCCTTGTCGTCACAGTGAAACTCCAATCAGAATTCATGTACTAGGCTCTTCCATGTTTCCAGGTACAATCCGTGGTTCAGCAGGTTCAGGGAATCATCAATGAATGCTTAGCAATCCATGATAAGATGGAAACATCATTACGTGATCTCTCGAGGACTGGGGAAGTTCAACCTTGCAAAGCTGTTCGCAAAGCAGCTGACAGTTCTCTGAAGGAGCTTTCCAAGGACTTGAAGCCTTTACTGTCATTCTTACAATCCTCTGGCCAGGCTGCTCATATTCTGCCGAAGGTATAGTGCGAATAGAAGAAATTAGTCATTCCCTTATTGGTGAGGTTTAGGTTTTAAGGGATAACTGTTTTAAAACCTTGTATCTGTTTGTTGGTTGGTTTTGTCTAGGTGGATGAACTAATCGGGAAGGAGAAAGAACTCCAGGAAAAGCTGTTGTTGAAACACTCCACGGTAGTGGAATCATTTGAGAGAAAGTCTGGTGGGAAGGATGCTGATAGCCGGGTGGCGACGCTCCAGCAAAAGATCACAGCCTTGAGACAAGAAGTCGACGATCTTCTTGAATTGCTGGATGAGATCTAATCATAAACCTAGGATCCCGAGGCTCTAATTTTGTTGTAATCGAGCACATTGTTGTGGGGAGGTTTCTTTTTCTTTTTGTGGTAATGGATAGTTTTGAATTTTGGTATAGTTGATTAGCATTTCTGAATTAGTTACAAGTCATCAGCTGATCTTTATTAGTTCTCAGAAACAGAGGATTTATGAGGGGATGAAGGTCAGATTCTTAAGAGAGGTAATTAGTTCAAGCTAGTGTCATATGCTATGCGCAGAGATCTTGGTAACTTACCTACCATAAAAGAGTTAAAAAACCAGCCTTCGCAAGTCTCACAACACATGCCAGTTGCAGATTGGAATTGGAATGTCCAGGGCTTTTGGCCCAACGGATCGAAAGCCAATGAAAATCATTCTTTGGACTAGATCCATGGATCGGTAAATTCATTCAGGAGCAGCATGTCCATACCGATTGATGAACAAATTAGTTGAAATCCAATAAGTCTTCTTCCTCATACTTACGGAACGACATGTTTATTGTCCAATTTGATAATAGTATATTACCAAATTAATTGCTAAAATTAATTATCTAATTTTATCATAGTATGACCGTCCAATTAATATGATAATTATCGTCACTGTTTAAATTTAAAGAAGCTCACATTTGTTGACAAGAATTGAAAAATGATGTGCATTACAAAAAATCAACAGTAAGTATTAAAAAAAATTAAATCAAATTGATGACCTTTTTTTATTTTTTTAAAGTACCAAATTGATAAACAAATTGATTCCAGCAAGGACCACAAATATCTCTTGACACAAGATCAGCGGCAAATCCATAAAACCAGCCTCCAGAAAAGAGCTTGTCTATCGCGGACTGTGGTTTCCCCATTGTTCATGTACCCAATCCACAGATAACCCACCAATTTAAAAGCTTGCTTCTTCTGATGATACAACATTCGCAACACATTTGCCATTATAATCTCATCATTGCAAGAAGAATAAATTGATCAAATGGTCCTTCACATTTGGCCAAAATGTTATTTTGACCCTTTACATTAACAATTTATTGGTTTGGTCCTTTACACATGTATTTTACACTAATTTAGTTTTTTTTTACTTTTTTTGATCCTTTACATTTGGGGGTTCTTGGGTTGACCATTTATTGGTCAAGTCAACAGGGGTATTTTCGGTAACTTTTAGTTCTCAAATTTTCAAAAGTACTAAAAAACAAAAAATTAATTAAAATAATATGAAACATATTATATTAATTTTATAATTTTAAAAAATAAAAAATTTTAAATATCAAATTTCAAATTTCTTTTCCAAAACCTGAGTCATTAATATTTTTATCCTGTGGGCCTCACACATGATTTTTTCTTTAACTTAGTTTGTAATTGTTGCACTGGGTGTTTGACCAAGGAGTAAAGAAGAAATCATGTATGTGGCCTACAAGATAAAAAATAATAACTCGGGCTTGTATGGACAGTGTTTTTTTTTCGTTTTTGGTTTGGATTTGGGAGGAGATTTAAAATGTATTTTGCGAGAAAATTTTAAAAAGTTGTTAAGATATGATTTTAAATAAAATAATATTATTTTTCCACCACAGTCGGAATTATGCTGGAATCCGGCCGGCCGGCGGCGGCGGCGGTGGATGAAAATTGTGTTTTGAAATATTTTTTAATATATAAGTTAAAATGTTGTATGGATAGTGTTTTATTTCGGATTGGATTTTGTGTTTAAGAGGGAAAATGACACAAAAAAGGCAAAATGGGAGGGCACTCGAATTTTGGAATTTTTTTTGAATTTTTTTAATAATTAATGATAAAATTAATATAATATCTTTAATAATATTTTAATTAATTTTTGATTTTTTAGTATTTTTAAAAATTTGAGAATTAAAAGTTACCGAAAATACCCCTTTTGACTTGACCAATAAATGATCAACCCAAGAACCTCAAATGTAAAGGGTCAAAAAAGGTAAAAAGAACTAAATTAGTGTAAAATACAAATATAAAGGACCAAACCATTGAATTGTTAATGTAAAGGACCAAAATAAGTTGTTGGCCAAGTGTAAAGAACTATTTGAGCAGTTTACTCTTGCAAGAAAATAGTTCGAAAAAGTGACTGACTGCATACAAATGTTTGTAACACGAAATTGTTGATGTATTTCTCTTCTTTAATATTCCCTCTGCCCAAAATTTATTGTTCAATTTGCAATTTTTAGTTTAGTGCTATTTGAGTTAAATATGAAAATCTAAACTGGACAATAATTCCGAGATGGAAGGAGTTATATGTTGATGTACTAGAATTAGATCATATAAAAGGAATATTACCAACAAAAACTGGCGTGATTAATTAGGGAAAATGAAGGCAATTACTCTTGCTATATTTTTAATAATATATTAAATTGAATGAATAGAATAATATTTACATAAATCGGAAAATGGAACAAAGGGGTCGATCTTGATATTACATAATCCACAACAACTCTCTAGTAATGTTAGAGATGACTAATGAAAAGCTAATTTAATTGATGATCAAGCAGAAGCCAAGAGCTGGAGAAACGAAGAAATCTCAAAATCCCCGTCGGCGCCATCCAAACCACCATCAAATTCATTGCTACAACTAACAGGAAGGTTCATCATCTTTTCTTCTTTCTCTTCCTCAGGTGATGATGATGATGACAGTAAACCTTCAACCTTATTCATCGCCTCGCCATCCCAATCAACCGTCGCGCCTTCTTCCTCCACCTTATCGAGGCCGCCGGCCATCATCATGTTTTCTTCAGCAACATCCACAAGACGTGGCATGCACTCCTCTGACGTCATCGTCCCAACTTGCTGATGGTAGATTGTAGAAATATCACCTCCACAATATTGGTATTGTTGTTGTTGGTGGTGATTCATTGGTGTTTCCATTGACGTATAACATCCCGGTTGATGATTCATTGATGAAAACGAGCCATAATTTACATAATTATTTAGTACTTCAGTAGTTGACGATACTGGTGGGGTGATAGTACTTACTGCACGACATTTAATACTTGATGATCATCATGATTATAAGCTCTCGGGTTTATCGTCATCATAACCAATTTCTCCATTTTCCTTTTCTTCATCACAGATGATTCAGCAGCCATTGAAGTAGTAGTATTACTAGTTAGGATTCTGGTTCCTGAGGAGGATGAAACCAGCTTACCACCAATGGAACTCTTACTCTTATCTCTTTTTGTCTTGCATAACACCCAACCTTCCAAATCGAAATCGAACCAGGTAAGATCGATTCTGTTACCAGCGGGTCCAAGCTGTACTCTGTCATAGTCCAGTGCCCAACTGTTTCTTGCGCCTCCGATGATCGGAATGTGAAATTCCTCTTGTATCCAACAAGGGTTCCGTCGTGCGAGCGCACTTCTACCTTCGAGTTGTTCCCGTGCCACGTTCCGCAACCCGCCACCCGAGTCTTCATCTTATTGGTGGATTTGTTCATCTTTCCGATGGCTGAAAGTCCGGTGAACACGTAAACGATATCTACATCAGCGTCGAGCTTGCCTAACGGGTCCACCGGAGAGTGCCATGTGTCACGGGCTTACTTTTTCAAAGTAACGGCCATGCGGCACCAGCACAAAACAACTAACGATCAAGTGCTAGCTCAGCCTTAAGACCCTCAAAGCGTGCAAAGCTAGGCAAGACTTTAAAGATTGGAGGCAAAAAACTTAAGAAAGGTTGAAAGTGAAAGAACGATGAAGGCACAAGAGAGCTTAAGGAATCCTTGAGAACTCTACTCAAAGCTTGGATGGATTACAAATGAAGGGGGCATGGGGTATTTATAGGCAAACCCCCAAGTCCTAAAGAATTCTAGAGAATTCTATGTACATAATAAAATAATGGAATTCTAGAGAATTCCTACAATAAAATATTCTAAGTTCAAAATATCTACAAGTCTCTAGAATCTTCCACACGATTCTAGCAAACTCGGGTAGCTTCCACACGGTTCCACTCGTTTCTAGAGAGTTCCGGGCCTCTCTAGAAAATTCCAGAGTCTTCAAGATTTGACCGGAGAATTCCACAAGGCTCTAGACCGTTCCGTCCCATGTCCGTCTACGAAAATAGCCCGTTTCGCATCAAACCACCCGAATTCGTGGTGAAGAAAAACTGTCCGTGACATCCTCCCCCACCAAAATGGTGCATCGCCCCGATGCACCTAAGTCTCGAAGGCAATGTTGATAGGAACGGGTGCACGATTCTCCTCAAAGTCCTCGATCAATTTGGTGAATTGCCAAAGCTTCTCGATTGGCTCCCAACTCGTCTCACTCATTGGCAAATTCTTCCATTTCACCAAGTATTCTTTAGTTGCTGCCCCGCTCCTGCCCCGAACGATCCTCTTAGAAAGGATCTCCTCTGCGGTTCGTTCCTCATGCTCGCGTATGCCAGCTGGTGCCCTTGAGGAAATATTCCGTTCTTCGTCCTCTGGGTCCTTGCGGTATGGCTTAAGTAGGCTCACATGAAAGACTGGATGAAGCCTTGAGAAGGCCTCGGGTAGCTCCAGCTTGTAAGCAACCGAACCCACTTTCTTAAGAACGGTGAAAGGACCCTCGTATCTGCGCATGAGACCCTTGTGTAGACCACGGCTCCGTCCATGCTCATAAAGCTTCACCAAGACTTGGTCGCCTTCTTCAAACTCGCGACGGGTCCGTTTCTTATCCGCCCATTTCTTCATGCGCGTGGCCGACTTCTCCAAGTAGAGTTTTTCCTCGTCAGACCGTTCTTGCCAATCTTTGGCAAACTTGTATGCGGGTGGGCTATTGCCCTTATAGCCCCCAAGAATGTCCTTAGGCGTAGTCGGTTGGAAACCAAGGACAATCTCAAACGGACTTTTGCCCGTGCTCTCACCCCGCATCAAGTTATAGGAAAATTGGGCAACGTCTAGCAAACGTACCCAATCTTTCTGGTTGGCTGCCACATAGTGCCTGAGGTACACCTCCAAGAGGCCGTTGATGCGCTCCGTCTGCCCATCTGTTTGCGGGTGCAAAGATGTAGACATCTTGAGCTCCGTCCCGAGCAAACGAAAGAGTTCTTGCCAAAAACGGCCGGTGAACCTCGAGTCCCTGTCGCTTATGATCGATGTAGGCAGTCCCCAATACTTCACCACATGCCTAAGAAAGAGTTTGGCAGTTATCTCAGCGGTGCACTCTTTTGGGGCGGGAATGAAGACCGCATACTTAGACAAACGGTCTACCACAACAAGTATGTTGGTGCAACCCTCGGAAACGGGCAGGCTCACGATGAAATCCATCGAAACGCTGTCCCACGGGCGTTCCAGAATAGGCAAGGGTGATAACAAGCCATGCAGGTGGTCTTGCTTGGTCTTGTCTTGTTGGCAAACTAGACAAGTCCTTACATACGTCTCCACGTCTTCCCGCATGCGAGGCCAATAGAACCGTTCATGGACTAAGGCAAGTGTGCGATGCGTACCTGGGTGACCCGCATAACGGCTATCATGGCAATCCCTTAGAATCTCCCTTCTAAGTCCATCCCATGCGGGCACGTACAAACGGTTCCCTTTGGCATAAAGTATCTCATCCTCAAGCCAGAACCGCGTTGCCTTGCCTTCCTTCACGAGCTCCATGAACCTTTGGGCTTGACAGTCGTGCTCAAGACCCTTCTTGATGCGATCAACCAGCGTCCCCTCGGGTATGCTAACGATTGGAGCAAGACACGCCTTTCGGCTTAGGGCGTCGGCCACGTGGTTAGTCTTCCCCGGGCTATACTCAAGCTCATATTTAAACTCGGCCAAGAAGTCCAACCAACGTGCTTGCTTGCTTGAAAGCTTAGGTTGGCTTTGATGGTAGCTCACTGCCCGATTGTCCGTCTTGATCTTGAACGGTGTGGCGGCCTTTAGGTAGTGCTCCCAAACTCTAAGGCAGTGAACTATAGCCAACATCTCCTTCTCGTGCTTCGGCCACCTTTTCTCGGTCTCGTTCAACTTGCGACTTTCAAAGGCGATCGGGTGACCATCTTGCATAAGAACGCCCCCAATGGCGAAGTCCGAAGCATCCGTGCACACCTCGAACGGTTTCTCAAAATCGGGAGAGCTAGGATCGCTCTCGAGTGACGGCGTCCTTTAAAGCCTCGAACATTGTTTGGTGTTTTGGTGTCCAACACCAAGCTTGCCCCTTCTTCAAGAGATCCGTTAATGGAGCGGCTATGGCGGAGTGTCCTTCAATGAACCGCCGATAGTAATTAACAAGCCCCAAGAACGATCTCAGCTCCGTTGGCTTCGTGGGTGCCTCCCACTCCACGATAGCTTTGATTTTGGCCGGATCCATGCGGATTTTGCCCCACCAATGATGTGTCCCAAGAACGACACCTCCTCAAGGCCGAAGGAACACTTCTCCTTTTAACATAGAGCTGGTTTTCCTAAGGACTTGAAAACGGCTCTAAGATGCTCCACATGCTCCTTCATTGTGTTACTATAGATAACGATGTCGTCCAAGTACACTACAACGAACTTATCAATGAAATCCGCTAGCACACGTTGCATCGAGTGCAAAACGTGGCTGGGCGTTAGTTAAACCTAACGGCATAACAAGAAACTCATAAGAGCCATACCTCGTCACCATGGCCGTTTCGGTTCATCACCGGTACTATGCGTACTTGGTAGTATCCCTTCCGCAAGTCTAGCTTGGAAAAGATCCGTGCCCGTTGCAGCCGGTCGAACAAGTCTGCTATAAGTGGGATAGGGTACTTGTTCTTCACGGTTAGTTTGTTTAACGCCCGATAGTCGATGCACAAACGTAGCGTCCCATCTTTCTTGCGTTGGAATAAGGCCGGCGAACCCCACGGACTTTTAGATGGCCTTGCATGACCCGATTCAAGTAGCTCCTTGATTTGCACCTTGAGCTCCTCTAGCTCGCTAGGGGACATACGATAAGGCACCTTGGCTACCGGTTTCGCCGCGTCCACCAACTCGATGGCATGTTCAACCTCCCTCCTTGGTGGAAGACCTTTGGGCAAATCGTCGGGCATCACGTCCTTGAACTCAACAAGGGCTCGCTCTATGGGAGGCGGGATTCGTTCCTCTTTGCCGGCTCCTCTGTGCATGGTTCCTCCTCAAACACCATGGCGGCAAAGGTGTGTTCACCCCGTTTTAGCCCCTTGTTCAGCTGGGAAGGGCTAATCTCATTTTTCCGTCTAAACTTTACCACACAAGGCTTCTCACCTTGGAGGATCACCATCGTGTCATTGCTAGGCACGATGATCGACTTTACCTGGTCTAAAAACTCCATGCCAAACACAAGACCATAATCATCCATAGGTGCAATGGAGAAATTAGCGGTACCTGATCAGTTGCCGATTTTAAGAGGTACATCCCCGGCTTCGCCTACAAGACCCATCCATTCGCCGTTCACGCCCTTGAAACGGCCTTTGCTAGGTGTCCACTTGACGCCAAGCGAACGTGCTACCTCTTCCGTGAGATAACTCGTGTCGGCCCCCGTGTCTAGCATGCCCCATCTAGACCTGTTTGCGAACGATGCCTCCATGTAAAGACGGCCTTGACGTGTCTCAGCCTTGGCATGCACGGCGTCTAGCCGTTTCATGCAAGCGACCCGTTTCTCCTCTTCTTGGCACAAACCTTGTGCCAATGCTGCCAACTTTGAACGAGACGGGCAATCACGTGCCATGTGCGCTCCCCCGCACAAGAAGCACCCTTGAAACTTCTTTGGCTTGTCCCCCTTGGTCTCCTTGCTCAAAGACGGCTTTGTAGAGTCGGCTGCCGGTTTCGCGGGTGTGGAAGACTTCCCTTTGTCTCCCTCACCTTTGCCTTGGAACGGCTTCTTGCCCTTGTCCTTGGAGCTATCCTTCTTTTGGAACTCAACAAGCGACTCGGCCACCTTTAACGCCCGATC